CTAGTCAAGACGGACCCAATGCATACTCTACTGCACACCATTTCGACTAATGCAATTCTTTATTCATATTCATGATGAAATATCAAAATTTATATCTTATCTTGTTGCCCTACACTAATTGCGATGCAGGGTGTATTAAGTTAAGAAGACCCTAAGATAGACTCGCCTTTTATTGTATCAATCGATCGATCATGCATTATTTTTCGAATCAATGATAAAATTGTCTGTGCCTCTGTCCATCTGCTTAGAAAAGAATTCGAAGTACTGTCATAATTCACCTGATATTTTCGCATTCGCTTAGTATATATATATATATATATATATATATATACTATTTTTCAATAATTTTTGTTATTAAAAACTGAACGGTTCTTTCATATAACGATTCTTTCAAGATTGAACTTAATATGAAAATCGAAATGAATTTTTAACAGTCACGTGCGTGTACGAAATTATTAGATTCGCAGGAAAGTTCTGCCGTATTTTACTACACGCAGGCGATTTTACTTGTTCAGGATAAAGCATACGGGCTCTTATTACGACTCTTTCAGTTAGTTGCGAACAGTGGACAATGTGCAAGTAAGAAATTGAATTTGGTATGACTTCCAGAAAGGAAGCAATACATTGGTTGAAAAGTGAAAGTCCAATTGTAGGCGTTCGCCCTTGCCGAAGATGCTTTGATAAATTTCGTTTCAGATATTTGAGTCTCGTAAGAAGGTTCAGCTGCCATTCAAGGTCGATAATTACATTTTACTTTCCATATTAAAGGATAACTCACACCTAATGAATGCAGGAGAAAGGAAAATAAAAGCGCGGTATCGACCATTCGATTGCTAAGTAACCCATCAAATATCTTGGATTTGTCTTGTAGCAGTTTATTTGGGTTCTGTGTAATTTAAGTGACATATATGTAACGGATCGTAGGAGAATTTGTTCTTCTCTTCGTATTACAGACAATGGAGAGCCCATATAACAAGGAATGAGAACTGGATCCTTGATGAGAATGTTAAAAGAAAGAAAATTCACTGCGAGTCGGGAACACATCCGCCCCAACTATCGCAAAGATCTTAAGATCTTTATCAGCAGAAGAAAAAGTTGGAAGAGATCCAGTGTTTCTACGAGCTACTTATAAATAAGGGCAAACAAATCATCAATCAATGAAAAGCCGCCAATATTAGAGAATGGAAAGGAATCTTTTCCATTAGTATAATGCGATGCAACAAAAGTTAAATGAGTTTAGAGTTTGGGGGACCAGGCACACGGACTAGCTAGCCGACAGATGGACAGGTGCCTTTATCGGTGCACGTCTCTAGCTTTGTCTCAAATTCCTCTGAGTATTGCAAGTACATACGCAGAACCCTGCGGTCTGGCGCATAAAAATACTACTTTTGATAAGGTTTTAAAAGCTATGACAAGACATCGATAGGGAATTTGGCATAAATTTGTAGCACAACCAATAGGATTCATATTAATTGTTCTATAAAAATGGTGCTCTTACTTTCTCCCTTTCCTTTCTTCGAGCACAACAAAACCTTTCAAGTTGTGATATATTTCTCTTTCGCTTCTATTTTTCTTTAATCCTCCAGCCCTTTTCTCCCTTTCTTCGTTAAGTATTACTTTCGATTAACGAAAAGTGTAGATATCTATAATCAAACCCGGGAAAACGAATTGTGGCTGGCTTCTTATCTGCAGCAAATAAATGTAAAGCAAATGAAAAATATCCCCTAAGTTGTGATCGCGTCAGCGATTTGATCGTAACTAGATTTTTTTTTTGCATCCGAACATTTTTAAAATTTTAACCTTTCAAGGGATTTTCTTCTGTAGCAGACTCTTGGCTAGAGTCATCACTTAAAAAATTCGAGTTTGCGAGCAGATCAGCACAAACTTTCCTTTTTAACATTTCGGTTTCATTTTATCTCAAAAGCTTGCAGGACTTCAGGAACCAACGGACAAACAAACAATTTGCAAAATCAACTTTCGCTTAATCCGAACTCAAATCGATTTACGTTTACCCTTATTACGAATCATATGACAAATTTAACATATAGGCAAGTTTTACTTAGGTGTAAACATTTTTTGAAACTTTGTACTTTGGCTGTTGTCCAAAAATGATTTTATGGCATTTTTTGTTCAATGGCAGTGTGCATACAAGAGGTTTGCAGCAATTCCTTTCGCCACTCATTTATAGAAATTCATTTTCCTGCATTTGTCTGTAGAGTTTAGTCTCCGAGCACAGATTCGTTTTATTTTATTATACCAAAAATAGTTTAAACATTTTCAGTTTTATAAGCGAGAAGGCATTTAATGCCGTTTTGTGTAGTAAATCGAAAACAAAAATAAATTTCAACTCATTTTAGATACGAACGAATACGCAAATGCACTCTACATAGCTGGTGTTTATATATATGCATATGTATATGTGTGTGTATCTAAACAATTTAAATTATAGTTTTCCTTTTTCTTTCAATCTATTTCTCATGCATCTTCCTCTGCATCATCATGTATGTGTGTCTCATCACTAAGTATATTTTTACTTATATAAAATTAATATTCGCTTATTCGTCTCTTAGTGTATATTTTTGAAATTAAATCTTCCCGTCAACGAAATTCCACAATTTTGCTTTAATTTTAAAAGAAAAACATAAGCCGAACGAAATCAAATATATAATGCATTATTATATAATATTATTATAATTTCAAATGAAATTTCGTTTATGGTTATTGCACCTATCAGGATCTAATAAATTGATAAGCTTTGTCGCAGACATTCATTGTAGAAGACATTCATGTATTGTCCTAACGAATTGCATACATATTTTATCATTTAGAGAGTGGCCATGATCATCCACCTCCTCCCCCCCACTCACATTATTTCGGTACTTGTGTCGTGTCCACGTCGGAGGCATGTGATTTTTTCACAAAAATATAGGACCTAATAGGCGTCGCACAATTATGATGGCGATGTGATCGACTTGTTGTCAAACAATCTTAAAAATCCAAAGCCGATTTTCGCATTTGTATAATTTGAGCGTTCAGAAGATTCCTCCCATGATGCTGAAATGGCATTGCCAAGAGACTCGTCTTATTTAGTTTTTGTCATTGCTTTGATAGCTAGCCTTGCAGTTATTCGTATATGAGAATTGGCCGAAAAATTGCTCGGATATGAGGCATTTTCAATAGCGTTCGTCATTGGGCCAAAGTGCTTGAATGTACAAAATTTCTATCTTTAAAATCTTTCAAAAATGGCGGCCTCTCAGTTGGATACAAGAAAACAAGATGGACAGACGGACAGCTTGATTTTAGAATGATTTGCTGAATCGATCGCTATAATAAAAGGCGGATCTTTGTCAAGTCCCTCTGGATGTTGCATACATTCGCACAAACTTAGTATAGTCTTATACTACAAGTGGTGTAAGGTATAAATTACCCCACGAGGTAATTGCAAGCAGGCCAATCTAGTGAGAGTAAACGGTAAAAATCGTACAGTACTTTTATAAAATTTCCACGTAATCGGCAGCTTGCTCCTCATTTTTCTCGCGCTTGTTTTTGTCGTGTTAGGTAAACCTTATATATAGGTCGTCGATTGGAATGCATTTTACTTGGTTGAAAAAATGGTTTTTCCCAACTATTAGTAAATTACAACTACAACATATTTTTTCTGTGTGAGATAGAGACACACCTATCGCTTAGTCGATGATTAGCAGAAGATTTCTGATTCGATTTTCAGATATCAAAATTGATTTTTTATCAATTTTCACTAACTGTCTAGTTATAGCAACCAAGTTTGCACATAAATTTACATTTAGATTTCGGCAGATGGCGTCGCTTGTATAAGAGTTTAAGACGTAGCACATTGAATATCATCACCGCGCCTCCTGAGTGAAATTAAAGTCCATTTGAATGGTGTTAGGGAATATTTCGTTAAGATTTTGACACTTAAGAATGCCCTTGTTCTGCCCTCTCAATTACTAGGCACCGGCGCCACTAAAACTAGTGTTTATTTGATTGCAAGGCGTAAGGATTGGACATAGCCTTATTTCAAATTATTTCGAGATGTTTCGGTTTTGAAATTTACTCTTGTTTTCATTGAAGATAGACACTATATATGATAATACATTCATGCATGGTATGTACATAGAAAAACAACATTGTTGTTGCGGTCATAATTAAATAGAAATTAACTTATTTCGATATTATATATATATCTATATACATATTTATATGTGAGGCAAAAGCAAAGCATAGGTAGTAAGTCAGTCATTCATTTTATTAAGCAAGCGATATTTTTCCCTCAGATAAAGCCATTTCCAAATATCGTGGTAGCAAATTAAAAGCGACCGAACGACTGCTTATCTGAGTCACTTAATTCATCAAAGAAGTGATTAGTAGTTTTAGATTAAAATTCAAATTCATTAAAAAGAAAGAATATGGATAGGATAGGAAAAAAATTAATTTTCTTCCATATTGTCATCCTCATATTATCTGATCACGTTGACTGAAACGATTCATTTTCAGAGCGCTTTCCAATTTATTCCATAGCTTTAATGTATGAGATCCTCGATTATAGTTTACTACATCAGGTCTTCAAGTAATCAATTTCGCCTCGGCTTTTATTATTGAGAATTTCAACACAAGTTTATTATAGCTTTTGAGTTCAACATAAACGGTTAACGGTAGGTAATGTTATATATATTTAGGAATCAGATTAGATTTGAGGTGTGTATATCTAAAATAGGCTATAAAGATGAATAATATTACAATACTTTCTCCTCCTATCGATCTGATAGTGGAAAGAGAATGCTCTTAAATCTTTTATTAAACTAAGCGCAAAATGTATGAATTAATTGTAGAGTGCTGTTGAAATCCTGTACAAAAAATGTTCTGAGCTTTTTTTTTTGTTCCTTTTTTAGTTTCTTCTTTCTTCATAGAGAGGCGGCCGTTGCCTATTTTTAATGCTGACCAAGAGAGAAACTATTATTTTGATAAATTATTTTACTTACGCATTCTTTTCCTCATTCGTAACCGGTTGCGTTTTGAAACGATCTTTGTAAAGCTCACGCTTGTTCACATTAGGCGTCACTTGTTTAAAACAAGCATTAGGTGCTGATGCAACAACGCACGGCAAATCGAGGGAAGTAATTGAATCTCGTGTTTGATTACCGGCGCTTGTGAAATTTAGGAACTTTTCCATGCACTTAATACGTTCGGCAACTGAGAAATTTTGACCAGCCACCGAATTAGTTAAGGTAGTAGCCAATTCATTGGCCTGTGTTTGTGAGGTGGCAATGGCGTTTAATGCCTCGCCCAGATCAATGACTGGCCCATCCTGGCGTTCTAATGAACGTGTACGTCTCTTCAATAATAAAGAATCTGGACCGCGATCTTCTTCAGTGTGATCGGCATCACCCAACGAACGTCGTTTTGATGGCGAATCAGTCTTAAGTATCGGTTTAACCAATGGTTCACCGGATTGTTCTCCTTCTCCATGCACATTCGATAGATCAGATTCTTCTCGGCTTGATTTGCGTGAGGTTTTTAAAATTGGCTTTATCTCATGCTCATCGGAATCACCTAAAGATTTCTTTTTCAATATAGGTTTTGGTGGCCTAATACTTTCATCTGTGGATGGGGTTTCAGGTTTCAAAATAGGCCTCAGCTCATATTCTTCATTATTTGGCGTGAATCCTAGCGAATCATTACCGTTGCTAGAAGGGCTAGTTCCGGTTTCGGCAGCATAAAGTTCAGCAGCTGCTAGTATTACTGCTTGTGATATTGATACATGTTTGGACGAATGGCCAGACGCCCCGTCACAAGGTGTGGACGTTGAGTCTTTTTTCTTAAGTATGCTATGCGGTTGCGAGGATTCACCTGACGCGGACGGGCAGCCATCGCTTTTGTTGCTATCATAACTGCTTTGCTTTAAAATGCCATGATGACCACTAGTTGTAGAAGTGCTGCCAGCCGCTGTCTCTTCCAAAGAGTTGCGACGAGCCGATTTAACTAAAATGCTACGTTCGTCGGGCGAGTGAGAACGCGAATAATAGCGTGACTCGTCTAACGATGAACGTTTTTTCAGTATACCGGCTCGTTTCTGCTTGGTCGGTGTATCTACTACATTAGAGGAGAAAGTGACAGGAGAGGCATTACTTGAAGCAGAACTTGAATCTCCTGCCGATAAATGATCCTTCTTCTTTAGTATTGAGACAATTTGACTCGTTCCCGCTGATATACCACCGGCAGGATCGTCAGTGCTTTTGCGACGCAATATAGGAGACAATTTAGGCATCTCATATCCGACATCTCCTTCTACGCTGCGAGCTTTAAGCATGCGCTGCGTGCGCAATATGCCACCACCTACCGGGCTGACTTGTAAATTTTCATCATCGTTATCAGTGCCAGGGTCACAGTTTTCCAAAGGATACGGTTCATAATAAACGCACTCTTCCTCCAAGAAGGTGGCATGCTTGGCAGGTGACGGTTTTCGTTCACCTTCCGAATCGACTGTCACTTGATTTACTCGCAATAGATTGACGGTCTCATTTAATATGCTTATGGCGTTGCAAGTACTTTGTGTGCACTCGTTAGCCAACTCGGCTATCTTGATGATATCGGCCAAATCAGCTCGAGTCCGTTCGTTCACTTTGCGATTCACGTCACTGCTTCTCTGCATTTTAAGATCATCTAAGAGAGCAGGATCATTAATGCGGTTCGGTTTTGATATTGCTTTTGGTGGCGTTTTCTCTTTCCGCGGGCTTGATATTTGACCTCTTCTGCGTTCATTGATTTTATCTTGACCTTTCCGTGCCATTTCCATATGATAGCCTAACGTGTACATGCCTTTATATGTCTCGTCATATCCATTATCATTTGCAGTCTGATTTTTTGTAGTGTTAGTTGCGTCAATACCTTTATGCGTCATATCCAAATAGCAAATTTGAATTGGTGACACTTTCGTTTTTTCATCCTCAGGTATACATTTACATTTTTGTGGTGAAATTAAATCACGTACGGCGATAGCCTCATTATCGCCGGGTACCAATTGACGAGCCATACCCAATTCACGACGGCGTCTCCGGCGTAAAGCTGCAGATTCATCTGCAATAAAAAGAAAATTTAATTTATTTAATTCATATTTTTATTTTTTTTTTTTTTCAACTTTTGCAAAACAAAACAAAAACAAAAAAAAAAAAAACATATTATTGTCATACAGGCATCAGCGAAAACGTTTAAACTGTAATTAAAACGTAAATATTTAACACAAGTTTCATGCGTTTCTATAACAACGTTATGATCGAATGATGACTCGTGTAATTGAAATGAAAGCAAATGTAAATGATTATAAGACAATTTAAAATTTGAGCCAATTTCATGATGCGTTGTCAGCCACATTATTTACTTTAAACTGTATTCGATTGCTTTTGTTAAACGACTAAATATTTGCATTGTTTAAAATTCAGCAAATACCGATCATTCGCAAAAAAAAAAAAATCATTTTCAAGCCTGTTTATCAATCATTGATCATCGTCTAGTAAAGTAAGGTTTTGCTTATTATTGCGTTTTCCTATTATGGCTAAATACTTATGTGTAGCGAAGCAAAACCATATGAATGTTTTCGTTTTCATTATTATCATCTTTTTGTAATAATTAAAAGTAAACGAATTGAAATTTCCCGCCCACCTTCCAAGATATGAAAAGATCGAATAATTAAAATGTATATATATATTATATATATGCTTGATTATAATGTGCTTCATAAAATTTCAATATACATATACATATGCTTGTATATATATACTATGGTAATTGATATCTATCTGAAGTCAATAAACTTGAAAGAAATTTAAGATTGTTTAGCCAGGTGTTGAAGCAATCTAGATAGGGAATTGTGTAAAAACTTTAATGTTTTAAAAAGTTCCCGGAATTTCGTAATGGAATGGTTAAAAGTTGTTATTAAGCTACACATCTTAAGCGAAAGCAAAGAAAATTGAAGACAGTAAGACACTCTAGAACCAACTATTACTTGTTTGTTCTTTTATTTTGTATGATCAATGAGTCATGGGATATGCCATCGATATCTTTAAGCCGCCGGTAAAGGCGTGATAGCGTTGGAAACGTCGAATAATGGAAGGAGCAAGTAGAAGACTTCTATATTGTTGTTCGACTTCATATCTAATCGTTTATGTTCTTCTTATGCCGAAATCAAAAACTGAGATAATTATTGCATAACTGTTATAGAATAAATCATAGGCTATAACCCAAACGTCTATAAACAAAATTCCTTTCAAAATTTATTTAATACGTGAACTAAGAATGCTAATAAAGTTCCTAAATGCGTTATTGTGATGGTTTAGTTTTAGCGAAAATTAACTTTTTGATTAATTCTTTAATATTTTTAATTCAAATTAGCGATCGATCCAGTGATATTAACTTTTTCACATGAAATCCAAGATAAATCTATCTGACTGAGATTATCATTTTATCGATGTTGTACTATCGTATCGTAGATCATATCTGTTGCATTTCAATTGCTTTGAATCTCTCTTGAGCGTGCTTTCCGATCCGTGCTTTTATTCATTTGTAACGAACTATTCTATAATAGTTCTTATGAAATAACCGTCGTCGCTTAATGGTCAGGGTATGAGAGAGAATACAAAATGCCAACCGCTGGCCGAAATGTGTATTTAAAGTAAGTCTTGGATTTTGAAATTTTTTTGTTTTTTTTTTTTTTCAGCATAAGAGATATTTCATATCAACCGATATCCGCCCCATGCATACGGCCAAAAATAGATTATAATTCGCATTTATGGATGCTAAGGTGGAAGAATGAAATTAACTCCAAGGCCTTTAATTGACATTTTTAAGCATTGACGTGAGGTAAAAGAGCTCACTCTCTCTCTCTATGCGCGCGCGTGTGTGTGTGTGTGTGTGTATTTACCCGGCATGTGTTCGGCACAGATAAATGCCAATCAGCATGTAATATCTTGCATGTAATAAATACATAACACACTATCCTGAGGCTGCCTCATTTTTGGAAAAAATTTCTTTGCGAAGGTATTTCAGGTCTTTTCCTAATGTTCGTACATGTAAGTATAACGTAAGAGAGCGTTACTCCCTCTTTCCTTTATCCTTTACCCACAGCCCTTTCTGGCCATCGCTATGCCTTATGACGTTTTCATATTTAAGAGGGGAAAAGGCGAAAGAGGTTCGATAAATTTTAAGAGAATGTCCTAATTGAAATCTATATTACAAATTATATATATATATATATATAGGCTTCTATTGGAATATTTATGAAATTTTTATCGGCCAACGCACTTACCATTATCAAATGCTGCCTCTTCATTTAAGGAACGATTCAAATTTGATTTACGTTTTGACGATTTATCGCGTTCTTCATTGCATTTTCTTACTTTATCGAGCTAAATGAATACAAAAATGAGAAATGAACGATTGATTTCTAATCAATCAAATAATGCTATTTAGGGATAACTTACACTTTTACGTGCATCCAAAGTTTCCATTCTATCTAAAGTATTATTAATATCAAGGGATACAACATTTGGGGAATAAAGCGGTTTTGTAAAATTCATGGATATTGCAGGTAAATCGTTAATTTCTAGCATATCATCTTCTTCATATTCTTCTTCGTCGTTACCATCATCACGATTATCATCATTATCACGATCATAATCATCGGCATCATTATCATCGTTATTATCATCACGATCATCATCATCATCATCATCATTTTCGTCATTGTCATCGTCGATTTCTTCATCTTCTTCTTCGTATCGCTGTTCTTCCTCAACTTCCTCTTGTTCACCATAAATATTCTTAATAAACTTGATATCATCTTTACGTATCATTTGCGAAGATAATGTTGATGATTTTGAGATTTTCGGTTCTTTTGTTTTAATTGTTGTAGTATCAGAATTTTGTGATTTTTGTTTCAAAGTTTTTAATATACAAGCGGAATTAGTTTTCAAGTTAATAGAACGTGAACGATTGGCATAACATGAAGCAGTCGCAGCAGCAGATTTTTTACCAATTACCGATTGCTGGCGATTATTGTACGCTGTAGTGGGTGATGATAATTTGTTTCCTTGTTGCTCGCTATCCGAATTACTTATACCTTGCGAAGCTCCTAACGACACTGAAGCATTAAGCATTAAATGATGTTTTGGTGAGGTTGGATCGTCTTTTTTCTTATCTATTTTATGCGATCACACATTACATTCGATAGCATTTTTTATATGAAAGGAAATGGGAGAAGAAAAGCAAAAAACCAAAAAAAAAAAGGAAAAAAAATTTCAATTATATATTTTTTAATCGGATTTTAAAGGAATTCAGTCATTCAATCATTAATATAAAGCATATAACAAATGAATAATTTTCTACAAAGTTATTAACCAAAAAAAAAAAATAAATAAATAAATAAATAAAAAATTACGAAAATTAATTAAATGAATTAAATTAAAATAAAATCAATTTTTCATGTTTTTTTTTTTTTATAATATTTATTAAATCAAGAGTTTTCGGAGATTGGAGGTGAGCAGATCGTTTCAAAATGGCAATAACAATTGTTAAATAGTAAATAAATTAAATTACAAAGCAATAAAATCATAGTTTTTAGTTATTTTAGTTGTATCGTAAAAAATATAAAAAAAAAAAAAAAAAACAAATTTTATATTTAGTATATATTATCATATTCAGGTTAATTAATTGCCGTCTAGCTAAGGGCGAACATTTCCCCGTTCCGCTAGACTTGACGTTCTAACGTTCCGTCTGGAGCTAATTTTTCGATATCCATCACCTTTATTGTTATCTTATATACCTGTAATTACTGGGTATGTAGAGGCAGACGCGGCATATAACCTTTTTTTTTTTCTTTTTTTTTTACACATTATCCCACGATCTCGACTTAGTCGATTAATTGATTTATTATAACAAGCCATTCTTGCTTCTATTTTTCATTACCTTCTCCCTAGGGGCGTAACGAAGTAAGCAAACACTGAAACCCCTATAAAAAACACGCTTGAAATTAAAAGCTTTTGTGTAATAATTTTTCAAATTTTTTTCCAAATTTTCAAATTAACAACAAATTATTTGCAATGACAATAACATTATTGCATCATTACGTGCGATCGGAAAATAACTCAACGCAGCTCTTTGATGTTCATTTTCTGCATTCATTTATAGACGGAAAGGCCTGGACAGGGGGGAAGGGGAAAGGTTGGTGGCAATGCAACTATGAATTCATCAAAGGTTTGGCAACTTATTGGTAAGCATGATCAAGGCAACTCAACTTAACTCTTAGATGACCTGATGTTAAGCGTATAAAATGTGTATAGAAATTAAGTTATCTCCAAATCGTACGTAGAAACTGTTAGATATGATAGGAGAAGCAATTCAGAAACGCCTTTAATTAGTTATAAATGTAAACTAAGATTTTGTATAAATAATCTTTTAACTAATAGTAAAAGTCTACGGTGCGTTTTTTTTTTTTTTTTTTTTTAACTAATACTTTCTATTAATGAACTGAGACAGATTTTACATTCATTATATGTTAAGAGATTTGTATTTCCTTATTATGAATTTAGTATATATATATATATAAATTTTAGTATAATTTTCATTGTATGCTTTTTTGTTTTGCTGTAATTACTCTCCAAGTTATTTGATTCAAATTTTGCATGTATTTGTTTGTAATTTAATATATATATACACACATATATATATATATATTTTTTTACAGAAATTAATGGATATTTATGTTTATCAGTTGGTCATGTCATATGACGTTGGTACAAAATCCTGCCTTCTTTTTTTTGCATGGCTATAAAATAGCGTAATACAATATAAAAATATTAAATTTTTTTTTTTTTTGCATATATAATAAATAAATTAATAAAATAAATAAAACAAATTTATGCTCAATTTTTTAAACGTTTGAATGAATTCGATTTGATTCTATTGTCTAAAAATTTTCAAAGTCTTTAGATTACATTTACATTAGAAGGATAATGTGTGTGACCCAATAATTAATTACCTTTACCGATTTGTTTAATTAATTGAATGGTCATGGAATGAAAATTATGAAGCAGTTAATTTTGTGAGTAATGATGCGAGTTATCGATAGGAACTTGCGTTTGAGACAATATTTCAAAATATATTCAGTTCAATCATCAGCAGAAAGTTCACAGAGTTTTCTTCTCTTCAGCTATTTTATGGATGTATGCACAAACTTTGCCTTTAGCAGAGGAATGCATTCGTTTTAGGTAGCGCTACATTCTGCTTTCAAGGCTCAACCAATTTTTTTTTTTTTTTTTTTTTGAAATTCACAAGGATTTGTCTACGTTAAAAAGCTCATCAATATATAGGGATCGATTTAATCATGTCTGTCTATCATTAATTTTTCTTTTACTACTCACTCTTACGGCAGACTAAAATGGCTCGCTTATGGTGCTGAAAAAAAAGCAATTTTCCCTTTATCCTTAAATTAGAAAACTGTAAAATTTTAAAATAAAAAGTCATTTCATTTTTTTTTTTTTTTTTTTTTTTTTTTATTGTCGTAATGAACACTATAAGCTCAATCACATCTGACATATGTCCTTTGACTTACTTTTCCTTTTACCGTTTTATTTATATTTACTTTTGCATGCTTTCCAATCGTCTATGGAAGACGAGACGGAACGAGAGCGCATAACATTTCATTCAAGTGCGTGAAACCATTGCCGAAAACTGAAATTTACTTTAATGACTTTACTTTTATAGGGAAACTCTTACTTCTCTTACCTATGCTGCTTCTTTTTTTATTTTGTTGTCGTGCTTCGTAAAGCATATATGTTTCTAAAGTCTCTATATGAACTACATATAAGCACATTTGATGGAGAGACTTCATCTGCGTATTGGTTTGGGGAAAATGTACAGTCAGAATTTTCTCAATGGAGAGAAGTGGTCTGGCACTAACCAGACTAACGCTGGTTTGAAATTTTGATATTCACTGTGGGAAAGTGTACAGAATCTTATAGGAAGTGAAACAACTACAAGAAGAAGAAGACCGACACTGACAGAAGACTGAGATTGAAAAATAGCTTGAAACGATTTACGTAAGTGTGCATAAATCAACGAGTTCAAGCTGTGGATGCCGTAGAAATCGTGTGTGGGTAAAAAATATGACTACGAGACTACATTGACTTTCATCAGCCAATCATTATTGAAATGCAACGATATTAGCACTACCTGGTTAAATTTGCAAAATATTTCACACTGACAAAGTAAAAAAAAAACAATGACTTTAAACCTATGGCAAATATATAGCGAAAGAGATAGAATTGGATTGTAATGAAAAACGTTCAAGCCCTTGAGTATTAGAAAAAACAAATTCAATAGAACATGACTCAAAAATCTCTCAATACTTTCTCCCCAAGCTGTTATATTTAATTCAGAAAAACATTTCAAAAATTAGTCAACTTTTAGTTATCTCAACATAATTTCATTATTTCGCTTTCGCACTTTCTACTCTAATTTTAGTATAATACTTTTTAATAGCATTTTTTTTTAAATTTTGTTATATCATTTTAACCTAACAATAAACTTTAAAATTAAATAATAAAAGCCGCTACTGAACTTTTTTATGTGTGCAATAAAAAAAAAATTGTAAAAAAAGACGTAAATTATAAAGGGATACAAGAACGAGATTGTCCAGCCAGCTTAAGACGAATCATTTAGTACCCGACACCTGTAGCGTTAGACTA